CTGGTAAAAGACCCAAGGAAGACCCTTTAGCGAAGAAGGTGGATGTGATGGCGGCTGAGTTTGCTCAGATTAAGGCCTTGCTTTTGAGGTTGCAACCGGGCGAGAGACTAGTATCCTCAGCCGGAGCCACTGCTAGGGAGTCGCCCATTGAGGAGGAGGATGTCCTTTCAATGGTGGCTTCTCAGAGCCAATTCTATGATGATGTTGATGGAGAGAGGCAGGGGTTTTCTGATCATCAATCCCAATTCTCCCATAATGGCTCCCAGGAAGCTGGTCAGGGATCTGCAGAAGGTCCACAGTCGGAGCAAGAGCTAGTGAAGCAGGCTCTTCAGGCTGCATTGGCTCGATTGGGTCTTGACACAGCCCCTGCTGCGGCAACCTCTTCTAGTGCTTTTTTCAGAGGTTCGGCGCAACCCTCTCCTCTTACAATTCCACCATCAAGGGATTATATCGAGGAGTTGCAAAGATGCTGGGCGAACCCTAGGTCGCTTACACACCCCACTAGTGCAAGCAGGGCATTGGCTGCGATGCAAGATGCAGACACTTATGGCTTGGGTCAGATGCCTAAGGTTGATCCATTTATTGCCTCTTTTGTTCTTTCACCAGAGGAGGTATTGAGGCCTAATGTTCGTTGCCCCCGGCCTCAATGTAGGATTACAGATGACCATCTTATTCAGGCATATAACACAGCAGCACGGATGGGTCGCATTGGCAATTCGTTGTCCCATCTCATGTTGGCCTTGTCTCAATCCCTTCAATCATCAGGGAGTGATCCTTTTAACCAAAACTTAAGTGATGCCTCCCTTCAGGCAATAGCATTCATGACAAGAGAGCTGGGAAGGCTGATGTCAACCCTCACACAAGCACGCCGCCAAGTTTGGCTTGCACAATCACCTCTGTCTGAGGCGTGTAGGAGAACGCTAAGGGACCTTCCAGTAGTTCCAGGGCAACTCTTTGGACCAGCTGCACAGGAGACACTGGAGCGTAGCGTCCAGGTGAATCAGACCAGACAGCAGTTTGCTGACCTGAGGAGAGTTCCACAGGCTCATTTAAATTACCGTCAGCCTTCTAGGGGGTATGAACTACCACACTCTACATTTTCAGCACGCTCAGGTGATATTCACAGGGGCCAGCCTCGGAGATCACCGCAAGTAGGAAATTCTGCTCAGCGGCCCCGGGCTCGGGGTCAGCATGATTTTCAGGCCCCTAGGGGTAGAGCACCTGGCCAACGGCCCACCAGGGATGCTAGAGGCCATGGACGGAGGTCCTGAAGGTCTGCGGCCGGCCGTCGGGCAGTTTTCTTATCAGCAGCTCAGTTATTGGGAAGCAACAACTTCCGACCCGTGGGTTATAGCAACGCTAACCCAGGGATACAAGCTGCAGTTCCGACGGCGGCCGCCCGCCTTCAAAGGGGTCAGGATGACTGTAGTCTCAGACCCCAACAGTTCACTTGCCTTAAAACGAGAAGTAGCACAACTCCTGGAGAAAGGTGCCATCGAACCAGTAGATTGGTCAGAACGACTAGGTGGGTTTTTCTCCATTTACTTCATCATTCCAAAGAAAGATGGCGGTGTAAGGCCCATACTCGACCTTCGCAGCCTCAACAAGTTCCTGAAAATCTTACCATTTCGTATGTTGCGCATAACCGATGTTCTTCAGGCAGTCAAGCAGCAGCACTGGTTTACAACGGTAGACCTAAAGGATGCTTACTTCCACGTTCCAATTGCTCCTCAACACAGGCCATTCCTCCGATTTGCATTCCAGGACCAGGTCTATCAATTCCGGGTCCTCCCATTCAGCCTGTCTCTGTCACCACGCGTCTTCACCAGATGCATGGCGGCCGCACTGGCTCCAATCCAAGCCAAGGGGCTACAGGTGCTTCCATACTTGGACGACTGGCTCCTTTGCTCCCACTCTCACGAGCAGGCAGTGTTAGAAATCACACAGCTACTGACACATGTTACTCGACTGGGCCTTTCTGTGAATTTCAGCAAGAGTCAATTAGCTCCAAGTCAGTCGGTGAGGTTCCTAGGTCTCACGCTGGACTCACGGTCAATGAAAGCCGCTCCATCAGAACAACGAGTGGACAATATACTACTCCTCCTTCAACGGTTTCGGAGGCAGGCCAGACTTCCATTCAGGTGCTTCCTCAAGCTCGCAGGTATGTTGGCAGCAGCAGCGGCAGTCATACCATTGGGCCTCCTGTCATTACGTCCCTTTCAAATATGGATGAACAGTCTTCACTTGAACCCCAGTTGGCACAGGAACAGGTTGATCAAGGTGACACAGCGATGCCTTCTGGCCCTGAGGTCTTGGAGGAGCAGACCGTATCTGACCAAGGGGGTTGTTCTGGGCATGATTCCCTCTCGGAGGGAGATAGTCCAGACCGATGCGTCCCTTACTGGCTGGGGTGCAGTGTGGCAACACAGACCAGTCACAGGACAGTGGGGTCCTCGGGAAAGAGACGAGAATATAAATACCCTGGAACTTCGTGCAGTTCTGCGGGCTCTGAAGCACCTCGCTCCGTTTTTAAAGGGCAGGCATATTCTCGTCAGGACGGACAACAAATCAGTGGTTTATCACATCAACCATCAAGGGGGCACAAGGTCCAGCCAATCCCTGCAACTATCACAGGAACTGCTGACTTGGGCCTTCCCTCGCTTTGCAAGCATCAGAGCAATGCATATCCCAGGGGTATCAAACGTGGTTCCAGATTTCTTGTCGCGCCGCAGAATTCCATCGACAGAGTGGAGGCTCAACCCGGAGGTGGTGGAGATGATATGGCAGCGGTTTGGCAGGGCAGAAGTGGACCTATTTGCCTCGGCAACAACGACCCACTGCCGTCTTTGGTTCTCTCTAGCAGAGGAATCCAGTCCGCTGGGGCAAGATGCTCTAGCCCACGCCTGGCCAGATCGGTTACTCTATGCCTTTCCCCCGATACCGATGATCGGGGTGACTGTTCACAGGGTTCTCCAGGAGCACCACAGGCTGCTGCTAGTGGCGCCAAACTGGCCGGGGAGACCGTGGTTTCCAGTGTTATACAAACTCCTAGACGGGAATCCTTGGACCCTTCCCAGGAGAAAAGATCTCCTCCAGCAGTGGGAGGGTCATATTTGGCACCCGAACCCAGACCGCCTGAAGCTCTGTGTGTGGCCTCTGAGGGGCCGGAACCACTCTTTGGGGCGTGCGATCAAGGGGTCCAGAACACCATATTGAACTCTAGAGCACCTTCCACCAGGAGTACTTATGCCTATAGATGGAAGCTTTTCTCTGAGTGGTGTTCAGAGCAAGCAGTGGTCCCAGAACACTGCCCTGTTCCTCTGGTGTTACGTTTTCTGCAGTCACTATTAGAAAATAATAGAGCAGCTGCTACTCTGAGAGTTTATGTGGCTGCAATTTCAGCACATCACGTGCGAATAGATGGTCAGCAATTGGGTTCTCTCGTGCTCAGCGACTGCGCCCCCCTCAGTCCGTTAGGGTTTCTTTATGGGACCTGGGCCTAGTATTAAAGTCTCTTACATTGCCACCGTTTGAACCTTTAGAGCACAGCGATCTGAAATGGATCTCATTGAAGGCAGCGTTTCTCTTAGCCATTGCTTCGTCTAAACGGGTGAGTGAACTCCACGCGTTATCAGTTAGCGCATCCTGTATGCGTTGGAACGCAGATGGCTCAGTCGTGACGTTATGGCCCAACCCAGCATTTCTCCCCAAGCGGCTGTCTGCCCTTTTTAGGAACCAGGCTATTGAGCTGGCAGTATTTAATCCTCCGATGTCAAGTGCGCTGGAAGGAGATGGAAGCACACTGCTGTGCCCAGTAAGAGCTCTCCGAGGATATCTGAAGGCCACGGAAGTTGTTCGGAAATCAGACCAACTTTTTCTCTGTTACGGGGGCCCAAAAAGAGGTCAGCCCCTCTCAAAGCAGAGATTGTCGCACTGGGTAGTGGAGGTTATCACCCACGCTTACACATCTAATAAATGTCCAGTGCCTTTGGGGGTGAGATGCCATTCGACGAGAGGAATATCAACATCTTGGGCTGCATTAAAAGGGGTCCTTCTGAGTGACATCTGTGCGGCAGCTACATGGTCATCAACAAATACATTTGCCAGATACTACAGGGTGAATGTGGCTGCTTCTGGTAATATTGGAACAGCCGTCCTCTCCGGACCCTCAACTTCCTCTTAACAGTGAGTAGGTCCTCCTCGTGACCTTGTTGTTATAAGTCATCCAGTGTGAAGCACTGCCTCTGGCGGTCAGTAAGAACGAAATAGAACGAGAGTTACGTAGGTAACTGCGGTTCTATGAGTTCTGGATGACCGCCAGAGTTTTCTGTCACTCGGAGTCAGGCGAGAAGATTCCGTAGGGACAGTCTGCAGGAAGTCACGGGGTTAAATAGAGGAGCACCCCGAGTCATCCTGGTCACGTGGGACATTGTTTGTATTAGACTCGATATGCATTGCAACGAGAGATAGTATCCAGTGTGAAGCACTGCCTCTGGCGGTCATCCAGAACTCATAGAACCGCAGTTACCTACGTAACTCTCGTTATATTTATCCTGTGACTCTATTGTTTTTTTTTTTTTTTCCTTTCATGTTTGGTATAATTTTAAATGTCTATAAAAATGGTCTCAGTTTCACTGCAATCACTGCCATTATGGGAAAGATTAAAAATATTTTTAAACACTTTTGGGCGGTTTCTCTTCAGGATATCTGAGAATCCTCTCCTCTCCCCCGAAAGTAGGTGTTTGTGTAGTAAAATGCACAAACATCTTGTTGTCTTCTGGGCATTAAAAAGTGGGGAAAAAAGAGAAAATAAAGAAACAGTTTATTGGGGATTTCAAAACTTTTTTATGTGGAAAAAAATCAGCAGAAGTTTTCAGCACACTGAAAAAACAATATACAGACAGGCAAAAAAAAAAAAAAAGAGATTGTGCCAGGGATAAGTATCAATTATTTGTAAAAGGTATGAAATCAAGAAACTCAAATAAAGCATAGATTCTGCCTAGACAAAGACAAATAATAAGAATAATAATTTCTGATGTTTTCTTTTTTTTTTTGAGGAGTCCATGGTCAGTCTTTTCCAGCATATCCAGATGACACCCTGAATTATCAATTCTGTGCTTCTCCTACTTGTTAATGCTGAGATTCGAGCAGCAGGGTGGAGTTACTGCATTGCTGCATTTGATAGTGTTAGTGGCAGTAAGCACAGCATTATTTGGCCAAAATTGGTTGAATTCAGGAAGCAGTGAATCAGCTCTTTGACCCAACTTGCTCAAGTCTGTCTGAGTCTCTGGCCAGGATAGGGCTGATGCCCCTGAAACTTGCGTAAGGCCGCTTTGGTGTCCCACTAAGGACTGGTGGGGTCCCTGTTTCCATGGGGCAGATGTAATCTGCAGATTCATCCATCCTGAGCTTTCTCAGTTGTCTGAAGTGAGTAAAACCAAGTTTTTTTGGCTAAGACAAAAAAATGTATAAAAATAAAACATGTCAAAAAACATGAACATGATTTATTTACAACTGTATATATGTTTCATATAATGGATGACCTAAATTATTGTGTAATATCATACCCTGACTTTGGCAGTGGTGTTTAGGGGTGTGTGCCCACTGGCATTGGCAAACTCTTGCTTCTCCTGTTGGGCCTGGAGCCCAACCAGTGTGCTGAAGTTGGTGGTTAGGTGGCGTCTGAGGAGGGTCTTCTGAGGAGGGATGTTAAGCAGCATGGCCAAGGTCTCAGAGTAAAAGCGAGGCTCTAGGATCTGATAAGCAGAAACAGACAACTTAAAGGGGTCATGAATTGAGAAATCAAGTTTTCCTTGAGCTTTTCACATAGAAGAAGTCTTAATACTATAAAATCCTGTATGTTTCTGAACTGAATACTTAGTTGTTAGTCCTTGTTAGTTTTTTTTTTTTAAACCAAGGTGTGTAAATGACTCGTTTTGGAATGTGCTGATATATGATGTCATAGATATTTGAAAGAATGCCTCTGCAGAAGAGAAGTGTGATACAGAATCAAAGGATTAAAAATAACGTTACCTTCCAAATGATCCTAATGCTAGGAATGTGGTTATTCAATGCATTGTCATCCTAGGGTGTCATCTAACTGACACTTTTGTCCATGCGTCTGAATCCAATGCACATGGCAACCTTTAGCATCACTTATGACACTCAACGTAGGGCGTCATCTAACTAATGCTTTTGACCATGCGTCTAAATCCGACGCACAAGGCAACCTTTAGCGTCAGTTAGATGACGCTGGTAGGTTTAGGTTTGGGTTAGGGTTAGACCACTAGGAGGCACGTCTCATATTGACGCTAAAGGGTGCCATGTGCATCGGATGTAGATGCATGTTCAAAAGCGTCAGTTAGATGACGCCTTGGGATGAGAACGGGGTGGGTTATTTATTTTTTTAATAATGTGAATGTCTCAGTTGAGCATTATGTATTTGTCTTAGGTACATTTCACTGTGGATTATTTGGTAAATCAGTCGCAATGTCGGCGCAGGCAAACAGACTTTTACGAAATGGACTCAACAGTAATGCCACAACATAAGTAACCATACTCATTCTAATGCCTGATCTGTGAGCAGTCATTTCTAACATGTAATGATTCATGTAAAGTCAGATGTTCTTTGTCTCAAATGTCTCAATGTTTATATGTCATTAAACCAAAACAGTGACTAAAGGTTTTTTGTTGTTTTTGTGCCCTGGAGTTTAGATTCATACTTATTAGAATAAGTTTTTGGAAAAAATCCTGAGATTTGAATACACATCTTTGAGGGAAAACCATTTTCTAAACAGTTGAAAACTACCCCTCAAATTGCAGTATTTTAAAGCAGATTTTGAGCTGTCATATATATATATAATATATATATATATTAATACAATCATGGTTGAGCAAAGTTTATCAGTAAATATCAGTCTCTTTTTTACTGGGAAAAATCTGCTATCCATATGATACATATGGCCTATCTCATGTTCTGGCAGATTTAAGCATCGTTAGCAGTACTGCTTTAGCAGCCAGTGCCAACTCACAATTAGGCCTCCATGAACGCCGCTGCCTCTTAGGTTTGGAGCATATTCAGCCAAATCCACTGACCTCAACCACTCCATCACTCGATGGTTAGACCACTGCACCACCTCAGAGGGTGATGTCTTATTCTGTATGTATAAAAAAAAAAAAAAAACTGTTTTAGTGTTAGAGCACAAATTATTACTTGAAGCTTTGACTTTATCCATGCTTGCATGCATTTTTAATCTGCGATTTGCCTTACCTCATCCCCTGGCCTGCGTCTCAAGCAGTTTGGGTTAAACTTGTTGACGTGGAGGACATGGATGGCACATTTAATGCTCAGATGGTGGAGTTGACTAGTGACTTTCAAGAACAAGAGATCATTCTGAGAAAAAAATAACATAAGTTTCAGTTAAAATATATGCATTTGCAAAAGCACAGTTCCGTGGCATTTTTGACGGAGAGATAGAGAGAACGTTTGGTCTTACCACTGTGAGATACTGTAGCATGCGCCCATCTACCTTGCTTTCGTAGAACTGGTCTTTGTACTGTGGTAAACCAATGTCATCAAGCCAACCTAAAGAAAATTAGGAAGTGGAAACACATAGGTAGAATGGACTTATTTATACTGGCATACAGAAAACACATGGAACTCGAAAAACGCTGGATCTAATCATAAGCATAAGTTTATTTGATAAAAACAAACTCAAACATTTCTCAGGATACAAAAACTCAGCAAACCACTGCAAAACGACCTCAAAGTCCAAATCAAGCACAGACCGAATGTGACAGTAATTAATTCAAAATATGAATAATAAATAAATAAGTTTAAAATGCAGCTTTTAAATTGGATTATAAAAATTATAGTTCCAGTCCTTGGTTATGATCAGCTGAGTCATGGTCGAAGCTCTGTGTTGTGCCATGCCTTACAACGCCCCTTAGCTGTTTTAAAATCAAACCGATAGCATATTGATTTTTTTTTTTTTTAATTCCATTGAAATTACCATTTCTTAATCATTTTGATCATGTTCTTAAAGAATTTTTACAAATCTAGCTAATTTATTAATATTAGTACATACGTGTAACCCAGATGTGATCCAGTTCTGACGATTTCTCCATTGTCTTGTTACTAAAAGCTCTTATAGCGAGTTGCAGCTTCTTTCTGTGCAAAGGATGTTTAATACAAATCTCCTGTTTAAAAAGAACAAAGAGTCATTTTAACTGTTGTATTGTTTCAGTGAGTCTTGTGCACCATCTTTGTGGTTGATAATATAATGTATTGTCATGTAAGAAACAAACCTTGTTTTTTTTAGTAACTACTGTTACTAATATAATCCACAGTGACAGGCCAAAATAGATCTCAACAGCTAAATAACCACAATATAAAATTACACACAATAATAATAATAATAGAATCAAAATAAACCTTTTCAAGCTCCTGTGGGGTGGCAGAGAGGAGTGTTTGTCCACTATCAACCCACTGACGGGCCAAACTGACATACTGACCCAAACCACAGTCTTCCAGCCAACCACACACCTGCTCTGTCGACCACTTAGAGAAGGGTATGTGGGAACTGATGGAGACAAGATAACAACATGATGAGAGCAATAACAGTTCTTTATCTGTTATAAAGGAAACCATGTCCCTCCAATATTGCAGCTCTGGCCTCCCTGTTCATTAAGGGAACTTTACCGAGATGAGTGTCCAGAGTCAGGTGTCCGTGTTAGCCGTGGCCCAGCTGTAGCCCTGAAGCCTCCTCTCCTGAACTGAGTGGGCTCCAAGTCATCTGACAGAACACCTGTCCTCTTCATCCTCAATACAAATACATATTCTCAGATGCATGGATGATTTCAGATTTTTTGTCTCAGATTTCTTTATATTTTGTGTGCTACAAATGCTCCTCGTCATAATCAACTTACTTTCCCCAAAGTTTGCGAATGCTAGTATTTTTTATGTTTTCCTGTAACACAGGAGACTGCTGGCCAGAGTCGGCTCTACAACACACTGAAGAAAGATCAGATGTGGTTGTGTCCTTCATTTTCTCTGAAATTCCTGAGGGGGACAAAATTAAATGAAACATATAAAAAATAATTGTACTTATTAGCTGGGTGGCAATAAAGCAGCAACAGAATACTATTTGGGTGCTATTAACCCTTAAACTCATATCTCGGGTCTTGTGACCTGGTACATCATTCACAACCCTCCTCCTCGTTCATTTTTTAAAGTTAGACATCAACCTTCTTAGTATTCCTCAATAAATTCATTGTACACAATATAACAAGAAAATTAATTTTTTTTATGTAAAAACTGTATAGGGTCACCAACGTGTGAAACAGTGTAAGTATACTTTTTCTGCACAACAATAATTCAATCTTTGATGACTGAATAAGTACAATTCACCTTTATTCCACAAGGTGGCAATGTCTGATACACAATGATAAAAAAAAATGCAACCCACCGTTCCCTGGAGGAGTGAACGGAGGACGTAGTCGACGGTCGACTGAATGGTGATCGCGTCAGAGAGCCTATGTTCTTCTAATACTATTGACCGAGCCAATGTAATTGGCATGCATGATTTGCATCGGTGGGTTGCATACGCAACCAGGACGTTCCCATTCAGTCGATAATGTCGGAAGTAGTTGACGGTTGACTGAATGGGGATCACATTTGAAAACGCCATTAAGGCTGCCACCTTCCAATGCCTAGAAAAAAGCCTCCTGATGCCCCTGCTTATTTTAAGGTGGGGAAGGAAAGGGCCAGGGAAGGCCAGGAAAGTCACTGCTGTTCCTACAGTACCACTGGGAAAGCGTTCCCCGTACATTGGAAGGAAGGGACGCTGCGGAAGCCACATCCAACCCGGAGGAAGGTAATGTAGAAAATACACATATGAACTGGGAGGAAGACCGGGCAATGACATATGGAATCACTGGGGTGGCTCCAGCCTATGACAGAGGGGAGACTCAACAGACAGTTACGGCGGACAGACTCTGCCGAGGGAAGACACGGGCTCACCGAAGGGAGCCGTATCGTGGAAATACACATATGGGATTACCGTAGGGTTTGCAACATATGGACCCTAGCCTAGCACAGTTTCCACACTGCTTACGAGTGGTAGGCCTAACATCGGATGTTCCGCCACGTCCGATGTTGGAGGGGTGCGGAGGAACTCAACAGGGTTCAGTTTTAAGGGAACTCACTGGAGTAGAATGGCGCACATATCCAGTCCATGGGAGAGGAAGCCAACCGCAGTCCGCAGCAAGCCAACACTTGAACCGGGCTCCACGGAAGCTGCGGTTCAATCTAGGTGTCGCCCAGCCCCCAACTCTAGAATCTGTTAGCAAAGCACTCTGTCAATGCCCAGGCGGAGCACACACTCATAATAGAGGAGCTCTATAACACCTAAGAGGACATGAGCTCGCAGCCACTTTTTTAGTAGGCTCATTGGGGAACACATTTCTGCGGAGCCCTGGGTCCTGCTGAGAGCCAGTCTCTGTCTAACGCCGCCTTCACACTGGCAGTTGAAATCAGCTCCGTAATACGCAATACGTTCCCAACGGACGTCGTACTACACCGTGAAAAGCGTCGGACGCGTGTAGAACAAAAATGGCGGAGAGATTAAAGTTTGATTCTGTTAGTTCTGTATGATCTTTCTGATTAGGGTTATGCTGCGTGAGGAAAGTTGCTCAGGACGTTGACATGTCAGGTCGGCTAAAAATTGTGATATAGTGGTCAATATTTCAATGTCTACCTTCAATTTAATTGTATTAACTGCCCTTATAAACGTTAGAAAGTCATGAAAATAAAAAATGACATCACAACTTATCGTTATAAAATCAATATTTATTTTATTAAAAGTTAATAATTCAGGTTTGTTTATCAGTACCATAGCAACGGTCAACTTCCGCTGGAATTGTCGGCTAGGAACCGTCCGTAGCTTTTCGCAAGAGTTCAAATTTTTGAACGCATCCGGATGACCAACGGACACAATTTTCTTCGCACCGCACTCGGTCGGACCCGTTTCGGACCCATTCGCATGCGGTCTGCGAAACTCCATAGGAAATGAATGACTTCCGGTCGTTTCGCAGCCGCATCGGAGCTGATTTCAACTGCCAGTGTGAAGGCGGCGTAAGGGTTGTCCGCTGAGAAAGAATAACAACCGGCAGAAGGAGGACTCCAGAGAGGCAAACAGATGTTACTGTGCGGCCCCGAAAAGTCCTTAACCAGCTGGACCGGCAGGGGATGGAGTCACTACTCTCCCTGGCCAAGCTGTAGTGAGGTATGTTGGCGGCACGAATGAGCAGGCCGGAAGAGTATTGGAATGAAGCGTCCTCAGAAGCTTCTGACTCCAAGGAGGAGGTGACGGGTGAGTTGTGAGACGCGAGGGAAGCATAGCGCAACGGTCACGACTGAACCAGTACCAGCTTGCTGAGCAACGATGGCTCAAAGCGAGGGGAACTGCAAGACTCAAGTCACAGATGCCAATGAAGTCAGAGGTCACCCAGGCCTCCGTTAAAGTATGCCCTTTGTACATGGCCCCTCAGATGGTGATAGTGGACCTCGTTCTAGGAGCGGGTTGCCCGGAGAAACGAAAGGTCTGACCACAGACTGAGGGTTTTGCGGCCGGCCGGGGTGATCTGTTGTCACACAGGGCATGCCGCTCTGCCACGGTCACAATGGACTCAATCATTAAGCTAGTGCAGAAGCGGCCCTCATATGGAGGAAGTCAAAAGGCTGCATCTGCCATATGACCCAGGAGCCTCTGAAAGTTCTTTCAGTGGGACCCTTTCTCACTTCTAATAACACCAGCCTAACACACTCTTACTTGAAGAGATGTGTAGGACCGAGTCCTTCTCCAAACTGAAAAAGAGATACTCAGCCCATAGGCGAGCATATTCTTTCCCAGTTGACCTCAAGACCCAACTGGCTATGGAGCACTCAAAGGGTAGGACCTTGTACTGATACTTCACACCCTAGACGCAAAAAAACACAGAATGACCTGTGGAGCGGAGGGATCGAGATCTGAAGTACTGTCCTTCGGGTCGAATGCTGCAGGCCCTGTTTCAGTTGACACAGGTCTAAGATGGCCATGACCCACCACTCTAAGCTACAATGAAATACGGATTAATAGAAACCGGTTTTCAAAACGGCTGGAGGGAAAGGCCAGTAGGATGCGATGTGCACACACGAGACAGCAATGCTTAACAAGTAGGTGTGATAAATATCACTAGCTTTAAGAGCATCTTAGCTCAACACCTAGGTATGAATAAAATCACTGAGCCAGGGTGTAAGCCAGTGAACTGAATCGCAACCGAGTCTGATGGCAGACGTACCTGAGGTGGGGCAGCAAAGTGGAGGACAGGGACCCGACTCGGAAGGCCCAGAGGCGGCCCGAAGCAGGGTCTGAGTGTGATGCATGACACTTACCTGTCTCCACGAGACACCCAGGGATGCATGAGAAGGCGGATGACTGGGTCCCGCGAGCGCATAATGAGCGCGCTTCCCGTGCGCCTAATCGCCTATTTGAAATAACGACCTCGAGCGCGCAAAAGACGCGATACGTGAACTAATCAGGAGACCCCCTTGACATCGCTTCTGTGCATGGCACCTTCTCAGCAAGCAAGGGCGCCATTGCCAATAATTGAATCGAAATGATAAAAAAATAGAAAACATTCACGGCATAGATGATTTTTTAACTGCTTGTGCCGCCCCCCCCCCATGTGACATGAAGAAATGCCGCCCCGGGCGACTGCCCGGTTCGCCCGTGCCTAGAACCGCTACACACACACACACACAACGTACACACAACGTCTGTCTATGAGGCGCCGGACTGGACAAAAGCGAAGCGAACTGTGAGTGACACTGGGCGAGAGAGAGACAGAGTTTGACTTTATTTAAATTTATATAAACTAATATAGTTTACTTCACTGGACAGTTTAAAGCTCATAACCATATTTTGTTGTTACTTCAAGAGTGCAGTGTTATGTTGCATCATGCAGTATTTGTCCTGAAAAGGCTACTGGGTACATTTCTGTTACCTCAATAAATTTAAGGTCCTTCCTATTTTATTTGTATACATTTTAATCATTAAATTTAAAAGATAACTCTTTTTACGACTAAAATAACAGTCAAGGGTAAAAAAAAAGAATTCGCAAAAATAAAAACAGAAAAAATTGAATTTTTGGAAAAATGAAACAGAATTTTTTTTGGGGGGGGGGAAGAAAAGAAAAAAAAAACATTTTTTTCACTGGAAAATATATAAAGATGTATTCAAGGATTAGTTTTAATAGATATAATGATTGACTACAGGGTGACTTAAAAGTATATCATTGTCATTGTTTTGAACCAATGCTCACCAGCAGTAATTTTTAAAGGCATATTTATAAAAGGTATTTAAATATCCTAAATAGGCCTAATCCTGGCTTAATTAAGCCCTGTCTGTGAAACCAGGCTGTGATGTTTTAGTGATATTGTTTTTCTTTTGGAACAGTGTAATTATGTAATATTTTACATAACATATTTGCTGCACTGGCCCACCCACATTACTCACTGACCCACCCAGGCAAGTTTGATAAAAATACATTTTTAGTTTATTTTTATTATTCAAATGTATTTAAGAAAATATATTAATATAAACCTGATTTACTGTTGACTGCTGTGTGTTTAATTTGTTTTCCAAATAAAATGGAACTGTTGAAGCAAGAGAGCCTCCCCCCGGAAGGTTATTGGTTGCTATGGTTGCTTGGGGTTCCGACAGGAAAACTCCCAGCCCAGTTCTTCAGAGTCTTTAACCCACAAGAAGGCTAGTCAGGTGCTGGTGGCGGACGCTTCTTGTTCCCTTTCTCCCGGTCAGCCTGACGCGAGTTTACCTGCCAATCTAACTGCGATATTATTATTTTAGCTTACTTTATTTTTGGGTGAACTGTCTTTACACTTTTTTTTTTGACTAGCTGGAATAAAATAAAAGACAGATTACTGTCTAAACTGGTTTGCCCAACTTATATTGAGCTCTGTTGGTTGAACATGATGATTTGCCGAAAATTGCGAACTAAAGGTGTAACCATTTTTGCAGTTTATCTATTAGTTTGTCTACTCTCTAAGGTTTAATTCTTTTTTAAGTCTTTTTTTTTTTTCTAGAAAAACTATAGGCCCACTCACATTTTCACTGGCCCGCCCAAAATACAATTTCTGCCCATGCCACTGATTTTAAATGTTTAATTGAAGTACTGCCTGCTAGGCTTTCATCTAAAGAACATCATAGTCAAGATTTTTTTATTTATTTTTTTTACTACAGGCATGGTCCACAGCTAGAGTCAAAGTGTGCTTTTAAAATGTCAAAACAGTGAGCGAAAGGGAGAAACAGAGATGGAGTGATCTCTCTTCATTGTGGAATTAGCTTTATTACAGTGTTTTAGTTAGCTTTGATTTTGTGTAAATTACACATTTACTAACAAAGTACTCTCTGACTGATGTTTGATTTATTTTATTTTGTGTGTGTGTGTGTGTGTTCAGTGCTATTATTTCATTGTTAGAGATTTGTATAAATGAAATGAAAGCAGCTGTGCTAATGGAGCAGGAGAGACTAACTGAGCAGGTTTGCATAGGCCAGTTTCCACTCTTCCTGCCTGTCAAAACATGTTTGGGCATCTGGCAGTGATTTGCCTTCAGCCAAGCTTCAGTCGCAGGGTGGGTCCTAAACAGGTGGGGCCCATATGATAGTTGCTCTGGCCCCTGGTAGAGACCCTTTCATTACATGCCATCAAAGGCATAGGGTTTTAAGGATGGTAGAAGTGGTTTTGCTCCAGAATAGGGTTGGAGAATAGGCTAAAAATATATAGTACATTTGAGTCACAAAAAAGTTCTTAACCAAAAACAATAGGGCAGCTATAGCTAAAATGGGTGTCAAGACATGATCAAACACTCACATACACACAAAAAAAGCAGGACCGGGAATTGAGAACCTGCTTCCAATAATATATAGAAATATAACACTGGAAATAGAAATAGAGTCTTCTTCAGTCTACTTCAGTTGTGAATATTAAGGCTTGTGTATGTACGTATATATTTTGTATATCATAATATACTGTGTATATCTGTTGGTCACTTCACATGTCAATCATATGGACTTTTTGAAGTCAGTTATTGCCAGAACAAGCTGCAATACATGTATTGCGTAAGCTTACATATTAACTATCATATATATATATATATATATATATATATATATATATATGACAACATATGCTGATATTCAATTCTCAAGCTTAATCTTCAACAGGAAAGTACTAAGTTATTGCATGATAAATCCCCCTAGGCATAAAATCATTAACAGGTACTTTTTTTCACATTAGCAGTAATTTGAAAGTGTCTCATACTAAGGTTGATGTCTTCATTTTTGTTTTCTGGAGTCCTCTGGTCGGATGTGTCACTCGTCTCACTGTCTCTATTCTCTGGGTGACTCAAAATTGCTGGAAGTGTCTGATGTATTTTATCTGCTGGTCGAATCTACAAAATGGTTAAGAAGTAAAGGGAATGTTAATACTGTCTGCTGCAGGCAGGTTTAATTCATCTTCAGAAGCCATTTCATGAAATAAGCATTATACCACATCCAATGTAAAATTGCCATATTTCAGTTATACTGTCTTAATTAGTTTATGTTTTATTATATAAATGAATTAAGACTGTATAACTGAAATTATGCCCATGTTACATTGGCAGTGGTATAATGCTGATATTTAAAGAGAACAGATTATTAACTCTACCTCCTCTGATAAAACGGGCACTACCAGTGTCCCATCCACAGCCTAAAAAATAGAGTGAATCATTGGAAACGTTGGCATGCCAACACCACACACAAACACACAAATAAATCTGTGTCAACAGCTAAACAACTGTAAGCAATTTAAAGTAATTATTTGGGTAAACCTTTTGTGCTGAGCTGTCTTTAAAGTCCTCCATACTGATGGACCTATGTGAAAGCAACATTATTTATATGTGACATGTCATTTTTTTTTTTCTGTTTGAAATGAGAATATTTGGATGCACTGACTCATTTACCTGGAGTTTGCGTCTTTCTGAGGTGAAAATGAAGACAGCAGTAGAGAAGATGAGCTACTGAAGGTCAACTTTACCAGAGGCAAAAAAAAAAAAATCAGAAACTGTTCAGGAAGTGATGCATCACAGAGTCAACAGCCACCAATACCCCCCCACCCCCTTCCGACACACACACACACACACACACACACACACACCTCAGTGTGAGCTGTATGTGTTAAAGGCTTCATCTTTACAGTCCCATTCTGCTTTTCATCTTTGCTGCTGTTCTGTACTGATTTGTCTCCAGGGCCTATGGAAGGTATTAGTTAGTTCAACTTCTGATATTATCATGACTCACTATGTGTATGATACACTTTAATCGCATTGCCATGTCCATCTTACAAAACAAATCATTCTTCATTTAATGATTTTTTCAAACCTTGTCAGCAAAATGTCACTTGACTTTGACAGACAAATTAGCTAATTAGTAAAACTCTGTTAAAACTCTATATTATATTACTTTGTCTTATTTTCTGGCAAATCAATCTCAAAATGATTTTGGTGAGTATGACCTCTAACTGTTTCATAAAACAAGGCAGAGCATGTTTGAAGAATGTACCTTGAACTAAAGTAATGATTTCATTCATCTCTCTAAACTGGCTGAGGAGGAGAGAGAGCTCTTCTATTCGACGATCCTGAAACAAATTTGAACAATATATTAATAACACATAAAAAATATTTAGTAAATAATAATTAAAAAAATACATTACTTCTAACCATCACATTATTGAGGGTATAAAGCTTGTGATGAGCAGAAATTTAATTAATACATTTTAGGTTCAAATGACACTCATGGCAGTTTCTGCACAGGTATCCTTTAAGTCTGTAAGTGTTTGGTACATCTGGGGGAACTGGTTCTGGCTTCAGTTTCACAGACATTCTACACACATAAGTCCATAAACACAGGGCAGTGTGACGAACAAAGGACCCAGTGTGCTTAAACTGAGTCTTGTTCACCATGTGAACATGGTGAGATGATGAGGAAAGTTTCTTAACAAAGTGAACTATATTTTGGAATTTCTGTTAGTGGCCATAACAGTTATGGACTTTAGCATTTAAATGTTTCATATTTTATAATTTATTTTTTATTTTATTATTTAAGTTTTTTTGAGTTTTTTTTTCTTTGAATATTACAAAATTTAAAATAAAAAAAAATGATTAAAAAAAACAACAACAACAACTGTACTGTGTATACCTTTTCATTATTGGCAGTAATAAGTGACTCCATTCCTGTCTTTAACCTTTGTAGCTCCTGATCTGTTGACAGTGACAAACAATGAAAGAGACCAACATTTTAAAACAATGCAATAACAGTGAAATATGGTACAGTCCTTCACATTGCTATATGTGTAATATATGCAAGATGATCTGAAAATAATTAAAGTTTACAGATACGGAAAACAGAAATAACAATGGTCTTAAACTTTTCCAAGGAAAGCTGTAAAAAAGTTGAGCAATAAATGTTTATGACTGTTTATGGGAAAACCTGTCGGATGTCGTGCTTGTACATTTTCAGTAAAGTCTAAAAATAGATTGAATGTCAGTTTATTGTCAAATTTGGGTTTTCAATAAATTATTATTCTATAACATCTTGTTCATCATCACTTAATATATCGTGGAGAAAATTCACTAGTTTAGTGCAGAAAATAGCGAATTATAGTGGCAAGCTGAAAAGACGTGTCTTTCTCTTAAGAACGCGTGGAGAGGAGGTGCAAAAAAAAACAGCCATTTAGTTCTCCTTCTCTTAACACTACAAATACAGTTTCTCCTATCAAAATAAACCACATAACAGAATAAAGGTCCAGTCCTGTGTAAACTACAATGGCATGCAAGTTTTTATTTATTTATTTTTATACAGCGTTATCGTGTGGTGTGATGCGGAGCACAAGAGAACCACAGAGTCTGAAGCTGCTCGCTTAAAAGACCTTAGCTGTGTCTGAAATCGCTCCCTATCCACTAAATAGTGCACTATATCGGGTGTCGGCCATTTTGTAGTGGTGTCCGAATTCTGAGTGAACGACATCATTCCCTACATTCATTCACTACTTTTACCCACAATCCTCTCTGAATTCGAGTGTACATTCGATGTACACTCGCTGAAGCCCTATTTCCCACAATCCAATGCGGAGAGAACTGAGCGCGCATGAAAGTTCGGCGCGAGCAAGTTTAAACCAGAGATTACATTACATCCAGTGGAGGATTTGAAAAATATCCGTTAATCGTCGTTTTGAACATAATAACGGTCGCCGGAGGGCGCTCGACGACACGTCATCTGTGAACATGAGAGTTAATGTACAATTTCAGTCGATGAAACTACAAAGCTGGCACGGAGGTATAATTACAAAATAAAGTCATTATGATTGTTATTGTTGTTAATATTATTTTATAAACTAGGTAATGTAAGATAAAAGGAGTTTTATCAGTACGTGTGACGAAGCCTTTTCTGCGACAGCTCCAACTCTCCGACGCACAGTGTAAACGTCAGCGTCCGAATTCACTCACTTCATCTCCTTCACTCCTTGCAGATATAGTGCACTCAAATGCCATACACTATATAGGGATTAGTGAATGAGTGAACGAGTGAGCGGTTTCAGACACAGCTCTTGTTTGCCTCTCACTCGTCCATTTTCACATGATGAATTTTGAGTTGGTATGCTTTCGAATGATATCTATGATGATTACTAAAATAGGTAATATGAAAAAAAGGCAATAAAAAAAGAGCGCCAGTCGTCCCGCTAGCAGGACGTGACAGTTAATCAGGGAGGGGGATGAATGGAAAACTGCTTTTAAGGGGGCATTTTGAATACTTGGTCATGCCTTCCGGTTTGTCCAACTTTCCAGCCGTTTTCCAGGCACTTGTCAACGACGTGCTGCAAGATATAGTCGATCAGTTCATAAATGTTTACCTGGATGACATTTAGATTTTTTCGTGTTCTCTCCAGTAACATGTGCAGCACGTCCGGCGAGTGCTTCAGAGGTTGCTTGAGAATGGGCTTTTTGTCAAGGAGGAGAAATGAGATTTTCATGCACAGTCTGTTCCTTTTCTAGGATCCATTGTGTCGACTGAGGGAATATGTATGGATCCTGAGAAGGTTAAGGCTGTGGTGGATTGGCCAAGTCCAGATTCCATTAAGGCCCTACTGAGGTTTGCCAGTTTTTACCGGCGGTTTATTCGCAACTTCAGCCAACTAGCCTCACATCTGACGGCTTTGACCTCCCCCAGAACTACGTTCAGGTGGTCAGACGCTGAGGCTGCGTTTGCCAAACTGAAAGGCCGGTTCATTTCAGCCCATACAAAGCTGAAAATCGCCCCGACCCGAAAAAGAGTTGCACGAGTCTGAATTCGGCTCAAAATCTGATGTAAATCGTAGAGTGAATTGTGCAAAGTGAGAACTTCTCTTTCACAGAGATAATCCATCCACCTCACAGGTGTGGCATATCAAGATTCTGATTAGACAGCATGATTATTGCACAGGTGTACCTTAGACTGGTCACAATTTGAGTGAAATGGGCCTTTTGTGTACATAGAAAAAGTCTTAGATCTTTGAGTTCAGCTCATGAAAAATGGGGGCAAAAACAAAAGTTTTGCCTTCATAATTTTGTTCAGTGTATCTTTCTAGCATTTTGTGTGAGCAAGAATAGAAAGCAAGCTTACGTTTGGTATTGAGTCTTCTTCTGTATATCTCCTCTAATGGTGAGCAAATGATAGAAAGAAAGAAAAAAAATAACATTTTTAGCTACGACAACACAGCAAAGACAAATGACAATTATTAAAACATGCTGTTATTATTAGTTATTGACTGAAAGGTATTTTTTAAGGTAAAAATCTAAAGTAATTTATGTGCCACTATAATGGCACCAAACGGAATTGAAAGAATAACGAGCTGTCCCCAAAATTGTGTACTTTCAGGGTATGTACCGCATTTGCTGAAGACCTTACTTCCTGACCATACATAAAGTTTTGGGGGCCACTTTATATTAGGTGCCTTGCAATTACTATGTACTAACATTTAAATTAATCATTCGATTAATTCATATTTTATATTGTACGGTTACACTTTATTTTAAGGTGTCATTGTTACAGTGTAATTATTTATGTATTGAGTACTATTAGTTAAAGCTGCATTCCATAACTTTTTTGGGGTTAAAACTGATCCAAAATACATTTTTGAGCAAGTACATAACCAGCCAGCGTTCACAATTATCTGCTTGCCTTAGCCCGATTCAAAACGGCAAGCTGGTAATAATGTTTTTAATTCCAGTGGTACTGGTGGATTTCTGTGGGAAATTCGAGCATGTCTTTGCATCATTAGGTCACATCTGTACACCTAAAGAAGGAGTCTGGAGATTTATAGCCTTTTCTCACAGCACTTGATATAATTAAACTTATCCAGAAAGGTTCAAACAACAATCACCAGTGACAACTGGAGATTTACCTGTTGTAAAATGCAAAAGTTCAAAGTTGTACAGATGATTGTATTAAAAAGTACAATCTATGGTTCCGAATGACAATCTCCACACCGGTGTGGTGACTGAGAGCTACACATTCTGTTCAAAATATTGGATTCACCCGCGCTGTGCCGTGCCGAGGCACAACCCACATAAAGTTGATAATTCCGCGAATAATTGAAATTGCAGATTCCAAACAAAGATGGCGACGAAGAGGAAAATTACGGACTGCAGCTTTAACTTACTATAGGGTTAGGGTATGATTAGGGTTTGGTTGAGGATTAGTTGCATGTAATGTAAGTACATGTAACATATGTAACAAGGACACTGCAAAAGTGTTAGCCATGGTACTCATGCAATTGCATTCAGATATTTATAAAATATATGTAATTAATTACATCTATAATTACACTGTTGACTACTCCCTTACATCCGAACCCACCCTTAAACCTACCACTAAACATGTCCCTAACCTTACCCCTTTCCTACCTTAATTGCAGCAAAAGTGTTTAAAATGCAACAAAACTGCAATAAGTACATTTTATTTATTTTTTGAATACAATTACATAGTACTTAAAAAGACACATAATATACTGTAAAGTGTGACCAAAGTTTGTTCTATAAAGTGTAAATGTGTACATACTACATCTGTCATTGTCATGTGACCTACAACATCAGGCTCACACTCGGCAGAAGCAGTGGGTCATCTGGGTTATGTGTTTACTCTTTTATAAATACTGCTTTTCAGCTAAATTGCCCTAAACATCAGTCTTGCTGCATCAGGACAGGTGTATAGTGAGATCTGAGGAGAGAAAGCAATACCTCTATCTGCACTGTCCACAGACCCTGGAGTACTGGAGAGCAGCTGAGCCTGTAAATTCTCTATTTCAGAGTTCTTACAGCTTAACAGCTGCTGTAAACTCATGATCTCTGCCTGAGAGAGGAGAATGATTTATGTTATTATAATATTGCTTAAAATATAAAAATTAATTCATTAAAATTGTCAACTTTTAGGAGAGTAAAGGATATTCCTTATGGAAGGCAGGATTTTTCTCTTTTCATAAAGGATTTTGATATACTATGTGTCACCATTTTTTTTTTCAGTTTAATTTTGTTTTCATTGACTTTCAGATTGTTGTCATTTGTCATTATGAGCTCATCCGTGTTTTATTAATTATCCTTGTTTGTGTTTGATTTATAAGTTAATCCCTCACATTCATTCTCTGGTCGGTCTACGTTACCTTTAGTGTGTGTTGCCCAGCCTGTCTTTTATGTTTAAACGTAATATTGGAACTTTATTCATCATCTTCATCTGCCTTCTTGCAAGCACCCATGACACTATTACCCCTTTTCCACCAAAAAAAGAACTGGTTCGGAACTGGTGCTGGTTCAAAGTTGGTTCGGAGTTGGTTCAACTTGCGAACCGCATTCAGAACCTATTTGTTTTTCCACTGACTAGAGCGCCCAGGGAACGACGTTGTTACGCCACTGTGTACGTCGCCATACGTCTTAGCTAGAAACGCTTGCAAGTACAACATTACTTTGGGATTATCTCTAACTCACGTACCAAGAAGGGTTTAAAAACAATTGAAATATGTAAGTCTTTTAATCTTTTCGTTTGATATGTAATCTTTTCTGATAAGTTATGTACCCCTGTCTTGTGTCTTTTTTTCTTTCCATTTATTTGTTCTGTATTGTGACTGTTTTCTTCTTTGCTTATAATGTCTTCAATAAAAAAAAATACAAAAATAGAAACGCTTGCGTTAACTTCAAGCATAACAATTACAAAGGCGGACTCCATCGTGTTTCTGCAAATGTTTCTCCTGGCTTTGCAATCCTTTATTATGGTCAGAAAAGATGTTTAGAACAAATCTAAACCCGCCCCCAGCCCCCGACGTAAGCATGATGTGGTAAAAGAACGGTTCTAGTCCAGCAAAGAGTTGGTGCCGCTTTGGAACCAGTTCTCCTGGCCGAGAACCGGTTCTTTGGCTGTCGAAAGGGGCTTGTGATTTTAAAAGGGGCCAATGATTTTATACTTCAGACTCGATGCAAACACTTTTAATAAACGAAACTTTGATTTCCATGCTGAAAATTCATAATAAACAATATTTGTCAATAAAAATGTATCAAAAATATTATCCTCGATATATCGTCGCTTTCCGATGAAAACGTCTCGGGTTATGACTATAACCCTTGTTCCCTGAGAAGGGAACGAGACACTGCGTCGATAAAATCGACTCTTTGGGGACGCTCCCTAAGCGTGCGCCTCTGAAGTATGAATGAAACTAATCCAATCCTGATTGGTGTTGCGTCGTGACGTAACATGTGACGGCATACCCGGAAGTATAAAAGTGACGCTGTCACAACACACACTAGCCTCGCGATGAAGCAAGACGCTCAAGGGTCTGAAAAGGGGGCGTGGCAACACGACGCAGTGTCTCGTTCCCTTCTCAGGGAACAAGGGTTATAGTCATAACCCGAGACGTTCCCTATCGAGGGAACTCAACACTGCGTCGATAAAATCGACTCTTTGGGGAACGAGTACCCACTAGGCCACGCACCGAACAGACCCGCCCCAGAGTGAAACTGATTAGGCACTCAGCAAGGGCCGAGTACGTGTGCACCGGGCGTACTGGGAAGGCTGAGACTGTAAAACCTGATGAAAGTATGCGGGGTAGCCCAGCCGGCTGCCTCACAAATCTCCTGCAGAGGTACTCCCGACAGAAGGGCCCTAGAGGAAGCCATGCCTCTAGTCGAGTGAGCCCTTAAGGCCAAAGGTGAAGGAACCCCACGCACCTTGTAAGCCTCAGTAATAGCCTGGACAATCCAGTTACTTATAGTTTGTTTGGTCGCCGGGAGCCCCCTCTTAGGTGACCCAAAGCATACTAACAACTGGTCAGATCTTCTCCAAGAAGCAGACTTTTCCAAGTATACACTCAAAGCTCTGACGGGGCAGAGCAAGTGAAGCCTCTCTTCTCCCGCCGACACATGAGGTGGAGGATGGAATGCCTGAAGGACTACAGAGCGAGCCGTACTCGAAGGAACTTTAGGCACGTAGCCCGGACTCGGGTGCAAAAAGGCCTTTACTTTGCCAGGGGCAAACTCCAAGCAAGCTGGCGTTACCGCCAGGGCCTGGAGATCTCCCACCCTCTTAAGAGAGGTAATCGCTAAGAGAAAGACCATTTTCAGCGTTAAGTCCTTAGGCGAAGCCGACTCTAAAGGTTCGAAGGGAGCGAGGGACAACCCTTCCAGAACTATTGCCAGATCCCAGGCAGGCACCCTGGACCTGATCGCCGGCCTCATCCTCCAAGCACCACGGAGAAACCTAATGACCAATTGGTGCCTCCCCAGAGGTCCACCATCTACTGGCGCGTGGAAAGCCGAAACGGCAGCCACGTACACCTTAAGAGTGGACGGGGAGAGACCCGCAGAGAAACGATCCTGAAGGAATTCCAGAACTGAAGCCACTGGGCAGTTTACTGGATCCAACCTTCGTTCTCCACACCAAGTGTGAAACACCTTCCACTTGAGGCCATATAATCTCCTGGTAGATGGGGCCCTAGAGCTAAGTATGGTTTCAACCACCTCAGCTGATAAGCCAGCATTTAGGTACTGAACCCCCTCAGAGGCCAGACCCACAGCTTCCACAACTCTGGGCGAGGGTGGAAGATTGTGCCCTCCGCCTGAGACAATAGATCCCTCCTCAGAGGAATCGGCCATGGCGGAGCTATGAGGAGTGATATTATATCCGAGAACCATACTCGTGTCGGCCATCTCGGGGCAACCAGAAGTAGACTGATGCCCTCTTGACGGACCCTCTCCAGGACCCCTGGGAGCAGAGCGATCGGGGGGAAAGCATACAGGCGAAGCCTCGGCCAAGCCTGTACCATGGCATCCAACCCCAGCGGGGCTGGATGTGAGAGGGAGAACCAAAGTGGACAGTGGGACGTCTCTCGAGACGCAAACAGATCCACTTCCATCGGTCCGAACCTCTCCCATATCGACTTCACCACATCCGGATGAAGTCTCCATTCCCCGGGCCTCAGCCCCTGCCTCGACAGGATGTCTGCTCCCCGATTCTGAACCCCTGGGATATACATTGCCCTTATTGACAATATCTTTCCCTGGGACCAAAGGATAATCTGATGCGCCAGTTTGCACAGAGGGCGCGATCTGAGTCCCCCCTGTCGGTTCAGATAGGCCACCACTGACGTATTGTCCGTCCGTATAAGGACGTGGCGACCCTCGATGTCTGGGAGGAAGCTCCTCAAAGCCTTGAATACCGCCATCATCTCCAGGCAATTTATATGCCAAGTGCGATGATGGTCCTGCCACAGACCCCTGGTAAAGCGGCCGTCCATGACCGCGCCCCAGCCCGTAAGGGAGGCGTCTGTCGAAACGGTTTCCCGGCGACATGACACTCCCAACACTGGCCCTTGGGATAGGAACCAAGGCTTCTTCCATATTTGCAGAGACTGAAGGCACTTGCGCGTTACTCTGATCATACGGAACGGATTTCCTTTGGGTGAGAACCCCTTGGTCTTCAACCACCACTGGAGGGGCCTCATGTGAAGGAGGCCCAGCATCCTTTGAAAGTGTTTCACAGTGACGGCCTGACCTAGCCTCACCCTGGACACCATCGCCAGAATTGACTCGATACGTGCGGGAGACATACGTGCCTGCATTGTAATCGAGTTCCACACGACTCCCAAAAAGGTCGTGCCCTGGGACGGTTCTAGCACACTCTTCTTCAAATTGAGTCTTAACCCCAATTTTTGAATATGGCCAAGAACGACATCTCGATGCCGAACTGCCATCTCCCGAGACTGGGCCAAAATAAGCCAGTCGTCGAGATAATTCAATACGCGAATCCCCTGAAGTCTCAGTGGAGCAAGGGCCACGTCCATACACTTGGTAAATGTGCGGGGAGAGAGTGCTAGGCCGAACGGAAGAACCCGATATTGGTATGCTTCGCCCCCGAAAGCGAACCTCAGGTACCTCCTGTGATAAGGAAGGATGGAGATGTGAAAATAGGCGTCTTTCAGATCTATCGTGACAAACCAGTCCTCGGATCTGATTTGACTCACGATTGTTGGAATGGTCAACATTCTGAATTTGAACCTTCTCAGAGACCGGTTCAACACCCTGAGATCCAAAATTGGCCTTAACCCCCCATCCTTCTTTGGAACTATAAAGTACCGGCTGTAAAACCCGGACTCCCTGTCTACCGGAAGAACACGTTCTATGGCTCCTTTCGACAGCAGAGTCTGTACTTCTTGTTCCAACACCTGAGCCTGCTCTGGGACCACCGCAGTGAGCACCACCCAGAGAACTTGGGGGGGCGGTGCGCGAACTGCAGTCTGTACCCAACTCGTATTATCTGCAGGACCCATGGAGATATGTTGGGAAGATGATACCATCCCTCTACAAAATCTGCTAAGGGTACCAGCCTCTCGAGGCTGGCCTCTGGTGTCTTTTCGCTGGAAATTGATGCGGCCCGAAGCGCTGTTAACGGCGGACCTGCATCTTTTCCTAGAGGGCCCCGTTGTGAGAACAACCTTGGTTGTCTCACTGCAGAGGGGGGAGCCCTCTGAAGTCCTGCCTTGGCTAGGACCTCTTTTTCGGTTTTTGGGAGCGTTTCCTCTGTTGCCAAGACCCCGGAGGGGGGGCTCTAGAGGAAACGCTCTCCTTCTGCTCTGCCCTGTGGGAGGAGCTGGCTGATGGCTGGGGCTGATTGCTTTGCCCCCCCCCTACTAGATTTGGCCTTCGCTTTCCGGGGGAGGTACTGCTGGAATGCCGCAGATTGTTTTCTCGACTCCTGAAACCTGTCGACAACCGAATTAACGGCGTCGCCGAACAGGCCAGAAGCCGAAAGCGGCGCATCCAGCAGGAAGGACCTATCCTTTTCTTTAATACCGGATAAGTTCAGCCACA